CACTGACATACGGTGAAGGTAAACATCGTGAGGAAACCTGAACTTATAATTTCTAATTATAAGTTTTTGATCGCCAAATCGCATTAAGCAAGCGTGGTGATTAATGCTCCAACCTTCTCCGTATGAATAGAGGCCTTTGCTCAGCAGTAGGCACTTATGGGCCGATGATGATTTTTATAGATAAATTGATTGAAGAGGAAGGTTTATATGTATAATAACATCCATTAAATAGTGGAGAAATTTAGTATCAGCATGGCACTTCTGTCGTAGGTAGGGTAGTACTGTTTACATGAAAGAGTAACAAACGTCATGTATTACAAATTTTATATAATTTTTTTATCCATTAGGTCGGCAATCTGCCGTTCTAGTGCGTCACCCGCCTTTTGGAGATTAGGGTTTCGGGGATTTAGTATTTGGAGACAGATTGGGGAAGGTTTTATGAAATATTTGTCATACTTACCTATTTTTTATTTTTATTTATTTATTTCATGCACAAAACACATTACAATCAAATATTTATTAGCTTAAAAACAAACGACCTTATTACAAAACAAGGTTTTACTTTAGTCTAGGACTAAACCATTGAGCCAGTTTTCGTATTTCGAATTGAAGGTAGATGACAATAAGATTCAAAATTCAAAACCCGACTCCATGGTTTAAACCTGGACTAAAGATAAACCTTGTTTTGTAATAAGGGGGTAAAGGTTTTGATCTACATAGTAACGTAACAATATGTGCATACTGCAAAATCACAAGTTTTAAATATTAAAAAAGCTCAAAAAAGGGACAAAAAGAAACAAGAAGTAGAAACTAAAAAACATAAAGTGACGTGTGTCAACACTGGTGCCTCTCAACAAATGTATGGGTTAATTAAGATCCTACAGGCACAGTTTCCCGGGCCTGAAGAATCCACGCCAGATCGACAATGGAGAATGCCTTTTATATCTGAGATGAATTTATTAATACTGTAATTAAATATGTCAAAAAGTTTGTGATTGCTCTTTGCCATTTCATTATATTGACGAGCCATCCTGGTCAAAGGGTTATAAAAAGATATATTGTTTTTGTAAATTTGTAGAGCGAAGAGATTAATTTCGTTAACCTATTAGTTGGATCCGTACCATTCATCTATGGACGGACGGATAGCGGAGACTTAGTAAGTAATGGGGTATTTACCCATTGGAGATGTAGCCATAAAAATGAGACGATTAATAACAAATTTTATGTATACTTCGATTTTGTTCTATTGCTATAGGCTGCTTTTTTATGAATTTGAGAGATTTATCTATACTAATATTATAACTCAGAATACAGAACAACTGTATTCTGAGTATTATAAAGAGGTAAAATTTGTATGTTTGTATGAAGGGGGTAATATTTGGAACCGCTGGTCGGATTGCCAAAATTCTTTCACTGATAGATAGCTACAATGTTCCTGAGTGCTACAGGCTATAAATGCTACAATCAAATGGAGGCTCCATTTGATTGTAGCAGCGAGTGAAACCGAGCAGGAGTAACTAGTTTTCATATAAAATTAATAAAAACTTACCTAATATATTTACATAGGGACGAAAACACAAAAATAACAAAAAAAAAATTAAAACACCAAAATTCACTATATAAAATATGCGGCGGGTTTTCCGTCTGTCCGTCAACTGGTTGCAATGAAGAGTTAATATTAAATGGATGCCACCTTGACACAATGTGCTACTTTTAACTCATTTTAGGGTACCGTGCGAAATGAAAAAAAGCCTTTTTTAACCGACTTCAGAATACAGTGTACGTACGGCTTCGGCACGAATGGGTCGGCTCGACCGGAGTGATACCACGGCCTTACAGAAAACGTGCGTGAAACAACTACAGCGTTGTGTTTCGTCGTGTGAGTGAGATTACCGGTGGTCCTATTCTTCCCCCTTTTTTTTCCAGTTGAGAAAAATGCCTTACGCATACACACACCGCCCGGGGAGACGGTGAGGTTATGTGGGGCTTGCACCCACTAAAAAACTCAGCTTTCGTGCCGTCTTCTGCCTTTTGGGAGAAGCCACGAGGACCAAAAACGACTTTCGTGACCCTATTCTTCCCCCTACCCCATCTCTTCACAACCCTTAAATATTTAAAACCCTTATCCCTAAAAGGCCGGCAATTCACTTGTAACTCCTTTGGTGTTGCCGATGTCCATGGGTGGCGCTGCTTGCTTACCATCAGGTAATCAGTTCGCTCGTTTGCCGACTTATCTTATTAAAAAAAGAAAATACAGAGAAGTTGGGACTTCAGAGACCGACTTTTAACCAAAGCGTGTATAAAAGGGTGAGGTGAGGGCTTTAACGTAAGAAAAAACTAAAAAATCCATTAAAAGTTATAAACGCTGTCGTGTGTAAGTACGGATGGATGTTTGTTACTCTCTCACGTAAACACTACTGAACGGATCTGAATGTAATTTGGCACATAGTCTGCTGCAAACATAGGTAGTATACTTTTTTCCCGCCTACTGCTGGCGAAGCCGCTAGCAAAAACTCTACAAGTTAAGTAAATCGTCAAAGAAATTAATTTTTGTTTTTATTTTTTTTTTCAATTCAAAGATCAGAACAAATTGTTTTTTTTTCTGAGATAACTTACCACTACAACAAAGCAAATGGATTTAGAGGCATACGGAACCAGAACCAGCAAGGGACAAAGACGATTCGCTCCAAAACTTTCTTTAAAAAAAATGCATGTAAGTTATTTATTATGTTTTCGGCTTACTCACGTAATAATTTGACGAGATACTCGACTAGTTTCAAGCCATGCTAGAGGCCCATATTCTGTAGCAGCGCGACGGTCGCCGAGTCGCGTGTCGCGGAATGCTGCTCATGAATATGGGCCTCTAGCATGGCTTGAAACTAGTCGAGTATCTCGTCAAATTATTACGTGAGTAAGCCGAAAACATAATAAATAATTTAGAATGTCTCACGAAAGTTATAATAAAAAAAAATGCATGTAAGCTTCAGACTGGGGTCGAAAGGTGCTAGGCAGGTAAAATATTGTTTGCTGCTCATCATCCAATGGAATATGGAAAATGAAGGGTCGTCCTTCAGAGTCCACTGTAGGACTATAAACCTCTTTAACATAGACGATTCGTTTATCATTATTTTTTGTATGTCATCGTCGGTAAACGAGCAGACGGATTACCTGATGGTAAGCAATTGGGCGCTGCTCATGGACATGAACATCAGATTAGTATCGAGTGTATTTCCGGCCTTTTGGAATTAGAGTTTCAGAGATTTTGGGATTGTGGAGGAATTGGGGTAGGGGAAGGATTGGGCCTCCGGTAACCTCACTCACACGGCAAAACACAACGCTGTGGTTGTTTCACGCCGGTTTTCTGTAAGGCCGTGGTATCACTCCGGTCGAGCCGACACATTCGTGCCGAAGCAAGGCTCTCCCACAACGTTGTGTTTCGCCGTGTGAGTGAGGTTACCGGAGGCCCAATCCTTCCCCTTCCCGGACCCTTCCCCAATCCCTAAATCTCCAAATCCCTAATCCTTAAAAGGTCGGCAACGCTCTCGTAACTCCTCCGTTGCGGGTGTCCATGAGCGGCGTTGATTGCTTACCATCAGGTAATCCGTCTGCTCGTTTGCCGACTAATAAGTCGTACATTATATTGCAAAAAATCTTTTCTCTATAAAAAATCTTTTACAAATTAGAAAGTATTCTCAATTAGCCATCCACGTAATCCTATCCGCTTTTGAATCGAGTAATTGGCAACTCTCGAAGTTGGACAGGAAGTTTATTATAAATTTGGATACACATGGAGAAGCAACTACGTTTGTATAGCTCGGTTTTCATACGAGGAAGACTTAATTTAGTTGTATATCTATAGTCAGAATTTTAATTCCATTCCAGATTTCATATTACCTACTGTCATTTTGTGAAATAATAATACCACATATAACAGTGTAGTGATGAACACAAAAATCGATAACAATCAGTGAATAAGTTTCAAGAAGGCATTCAAAAAATTACGGCTACCGAATGGTCTAAATGCGTTGACAACATGGGATATGTTGTCAAAGAAGAGGAAAAAATGAGTAGGTAATTGAGAATAAAATTCACAGACACAATTCATAATAAATGTTACAGAAAGTAACAGCGACAGCGATAGCGATGACGGCGACAATTTATAAAATATCTGTTTTATTTGTCATGTTCCATGTCATGTATGTGATCATGAAGATCACATTTTTTATTAATTTCACACACAATTACAAAAGAAAAGTCTCAGATCGTTAATTAATTGTCAAAACTAAATTATCGGTTCAGAAATATTTTATTTCCTGATAAACTTAGTTTACGAGAGTAAATTTATAAACGAGAGGAATCGATTCAAAAATAGTCGATTTCAACATCGAATAATTTTGCAACGTCACTATTTATTACGTGTCATAACGTTGCAACACTGAAATTGTCAAATCTGGAATGGAATTCAAATTCCGAGTATAGTTTTGAAGTTACAGTAATCTCCCACTTTTTCAAATAGACTGGACCCACCGACTGGATCTCCAACGACGATTACCGATCACAGTTTAAAAATACAGGTGCAGAAAAAAAGATTCAGGTTCGCCTTATAAGGGAAGTTCCTGTAGACTTAAGCTTCCTCCTGTAATTTTTGTTTTGTGGATATAATCATCAAACCTCTTTTGCCAAAGAGGGTGAGGCGAGAGGTAATGTCAGAATCTTGTTGAATAAAAACCACCCCGTAAGGTGATCTATTGGTTCTTTGAGACAGTTATGAAAAGGCTCCCATAAACATTATTAAGTGTGGGAGAGCCATGCTTCGGCACGAATGGGTCGGCTCGACCGGAGTGATACCACAGCCTCACAGAAAACCGGCGTGAAATAACCACAGCGTTGTGTTTTGCCGTGTGAGTGAGTTTACCGGAGGCCCAGACCTTCCCCTCCCCCAATCCCTCCTCAATCCCTGAATCTGCTAATCCCTAATCCCTAAAAGGTCGGCAACGCACTCGTAACTCCTCCGTTGCGAGTGTCCATGGGCGGCGCTGATTGCTTACCATCAGGTAATCCGTCTGCTCGTTTGTCGACCTATAGCATAAAAAAAACATAAAGAAGGAAAACAGTCGAAAATAAAACAAAACTTACAAAACAATTAAATAAATATTTATTTTATCTCAAACCGGGATGAAAATGGAAAACGCGGAGTATATCGTAGAAAGCAAGCAGTATATAAGGTATCCATATAAAGCAAGACACAGGATGTTTACATATTTCAGTATTTTTTGCTTCTTCTGCCCGTATTCTGAACCTTTCAGACCGTCCTTGACAATAAACCTGAAAATACAGAAAAGGAATTATTTTCCAATAAAAAAATTCCAGGTTTAAAGTGACTTAGTTTTTTTTTGTCAGGGGAAACTCATCAAATGACTTCTCATGAGTGTCAGACTCTTACTGACTAAAAACCGCCCCGTTCCTTCTCCTGCTCTGAGCCGAGGTCATTGAGCTTACTCCGCAACCCCCGGCTGAACATCAGCCCCATTGGGCCCCGTCTGTGGTGGTCTATTGGCTCTTTAAGGCGCGCGCGGAACGCTACGCGCTGTATGCTCGGATCCGGTTCTGGTCGGGCGGTGAACTACCCTTACTCGCCGACGGTAGACCTGTGCTTAGGATGGCCGGAGATCGTCTCTCGAAAAGTGACTTAGATAAGTGTGGGAGATCCATGCTTCGACTCAAATGTATCGGCTCGACCGGAGTGAAACCAGGCCTCATCAAAAACCGGCGTGAAACAACCACAGAGTTGTGTTTCACCGTGTGAGTGAGGTTTTCGGAGGCCCCTTCTCTCCCCTTCTACCCATCCTTTCCCAATCACCAATATCCGAAACGCCTATCCCTAAAAAGCTGGTAACGCACTCGCAACTCCTTTGGCGTGGCGGGAGTCCATGGGCGGCGCTGATTGCTTACCATCAGGTAATCCATCTGCTCGTCTGCCGACTTATACAATAAAAAAGGCGTGGTAAGCAGACACATACCTTCGTAGACCAATGGTCATAGATATAGCCACATCTCTATGATCGATTTCTCTGACATCGCATCCAAAGATAGCCTGGTCTTCTGGAGACATCCGGTCCATCATCCCCACTAGATTATCGTCTCTAATCTTCCAAGAATTAAACAGAAAGTATTCGTAAATTTTGAACAAATTGTACGTCTTTGTGTAAATTGATACCAGGCTGAAAGAATCAAGAATATCAGATTATTATGGAGATATTATCAAAGGAATTTAAAGTCTACAAAATGGCGCGAAGTTTTCTAATCGAAAACCTCATTTTGCCAAAAGAACACGATGTGCTAAGTGTGGGAGAGCCATGTTTGGGTCGGCTCGACCGAAGTGATACCACGGCCTCACAGAAAACCGGCGTGCAACAACCGCAGCGTTGTGTTTCACCGTGCGAGTTAGGTTACCGGAGGCCGAATACTTCCCCTCCCCCAATCCCTGAATCTACAAATCCCTAATCCCCAAAAGGTCGGCAACGCACTCGTAACTCGTCTGTTGCGGGTGTCCATGGGCGGCGCTGATTGCTTACCATCAGGTAATCGGCTTGCACGTTTGCCCATCTATTACTTAAAAAAAATTTACATACACATTACACCTGGACCCAGCATGTCGATGAATCGTGTTCGAGTGCGAAGTGAGCGTCGAAGTGACGGGGAAATTACATTATAGAATGCAACTTTTAACGTCATCTCATACTTTATCTATCAAAATGTTGCGGTTTATTTAGTTCAACTCGCAAGTGTAGCGCTAGTGTACTACTACTCACAGCGGATTCAGATTCGAAGTTTAGAATGAAGTCTTACAGAATCACACTGCAGGACATGTTGCGTAGCAGCCAGTTGCCTAGCTACCACACTAACTGTGCAGACAATCACCGTAATTGCTTACCATCAGCTCGTTTCTCAATGTACGGTGTCAAAAATCATACTCACGATGGTATGCCTTTAGGCCTGACTCCAAGAATAGAGACGATGGCATCTATGAAGTATGCAGGAATGTAATGGAATATCCAGGTTAAAAGCCAAAATAGGATTGGGTTTGATGTTTCAACCGCACACGCGTAATACAAGGATTTTGGTGATATCATCCTCCTCATTTCATCAGATTTTATTGTTTCTATTAGTTTTCCTGTAAAAAAAAAACATAATTTTACATGTAACATATTTGTGGATTGTCAATGGCCAATAAGGAAGTGAAAAGTGACTGAAAAGTTGAAAGGGAACCGTTTGTCTTGGTATGGCCATGTGAAAAGGAGGGATGAAAAGCATGTAACAAAAAAGTCATGAGTATAAATGTGGATGGATGGAGAGGGAGGGAGACCAAAGAAATATGGATGGATTGTGTGAGAAGTGATATGGAAGACAGAGGAGTTAGCGATAGCGTGACGGGTGACAGGACAGAATGGAAGAAAAAAACATATTGCGCCGACCCCAAATAAAACGGGACAAGGGCAGGAAAATGATGATGATTGTCAATGGCTAATAAAGAAGCTCAGTCAAAAAACCCCTTCGACATATTTAAGAAAAAATGTCGAAGGACTACTACTATTTTTGTGAGGGTTATCATTGAATGGGGAAAATCATCAAATGACTTCTCCCGCCCAGGGTAAGGCGAGAGACGGTGTCAGACTTTACTGGCCTTACCCTGGCCTATCTCTCGCCTTACCCTGGGCGGGAGAAGTCATTTGATGATTTTCCCCTGACAAAAAAAAATGTCACGTCACGTCACTTCACGTTATACGTACCCCATGAATAATTGCAAGCTGAACTACCAACAGTGTAGATTGGTATCTTGTTATCAATTATCTTCCTGTTTTGAACAGAGTCCCAACCGGCGGCTAAGATAGCGTTGTTCACATAGTCCACGGGTGCTATACAAAAATCCAGTTCTTTTCTCAAATATAATACGTGCATCAAGCCAAGTCCGGATCCCAAAAGAAACTGAAAGAAATATATACCTATATAAATACTATTATTTATTTATTATACTAAGATATTAGTATTGGTTATAGGCAGTAGATCTTATACGTTAGCCAGTTACGAGCTAACCAACTTTCTTTAAATTATGCGAAGAAGAAGAAGAAATATTGACTTCTGCAGGTTTAAAAACTAAGTATCTTATGTTCTTTCTCGAGTTCCAAACTATGTCTGCAAATGTCACAAAAATTGGTTCAGTAGTTTAGGCGTGAAGAAAAGACAGACAGACAGAGTTACTTTCGCATTTATAATATTAGTTTGGATAACTATACTTTTATTCATCGATCGATCGATACAATAAATTTAAGCTAGTTTTTAGCTAATAATAATATTAGTTTGGATTATAACAAGAACTAATCAAATGAACATACTTAGGACAACAGTTTTATTAACCACAGTAAAATATAAACCTAAATGAAATAAAAAAATTATATGGGCTACCTGGACTTATAATATCTATTCATTATACATATATGTAAGTATGAAGCGTGGTGATTTATGCTCCAAGCTTCTCCATGTGAGAAGAGGCCTTTACTCGCCGTGGGCACTTATAGGATAATGATGATATTATTAAAATCAGATTAGAATAAACTTGTCCCTACCCCTAACTCTTTTTTTTCTGGGGGGAGGGGGGGGGGGGGATCATCAAATGACTTTTCTCGCCCAGGGTGAAAAGAAAAGAGTATCAGACTCTTACTAACTAAAGACCCCCCATTTTTTCTCCTGTGTGAGCGCAGTTACCGGGGTCTTTCTCTTTCCTATTCCAGAGGGCCTAACATGAAGCTATAAAAGGACACACACAGATCCTCTTACAGATCTTTTTTTTTATACTATAGGTCGGCAAATGAGCAGACGGATTACCTGATGGTAAGCAATCAGAGCCGCCCATGGACACTCGCAACGGAGGAGTTACGAGTGCGTTGCCGACCTTTTAGGGATTAGGGATTTGGAGATTTAGGGATTGAGGAGGGATTGGGGAAGGGGAAGGATTGGGCCTCAGGCAACCTCACTCACACGGCGAAACACAACGCAGTGGTTATTTCACGCCGGTTTTCTGTGAGGCCGTGGTATCACTCCGGTCGAGCCGACCCATTCATGCCGAAGCATGGCTCTCCCACACTTAAAGATCACTTACAGATCCTCAAATATCCAATCCATAAATCTTTAACAGTCCACGAAAAGCCAGCAGAGCACTATTTTGGCGTTTTTGCTAAAAAAATCCATAGGTATTATAGATATTCATCTTATCCACCAATCTCTAAGGGCGTAACCAATTGCTTACCATCAGGTAATATCAAGAACCTAAAAATATAATCAAGTTAATAAAAAAATATTAATGACTTACTCCAACAGGTGACGCCATAATGGTCTGGTTGTCTATCCACCCTGGTGAAGGCTCGACATACGATCCGATGACTGAAAACCAAACATGGGAAAGAATGAAAGCTTTAGAAGTATGCAAGTATTACATTATTATGTTGCAACAAATGCGCACTCTGTGATCATCAAATGGCTTCTCACGCAAATCTTATCTTATCTTATCTAGAGAGTGTCAGACTCTTACTGACTAAAAACCTCCCCGTTCCTTCTCCTGCTACAGACTCGGGCCGCGGTACATACTTGACTAGCAACCCTGGCTGAACATCAGCCCTATTGGACTCCAGCAGTGTGATTCTGTAAGACTTCATTCTAAACTTCGAATCTGAATCCGCTGTGAGTAGTAGTACACTAGCGCTACACTTGCGAGTTGAACTAAATTGACAGCAACATTTTGATAGATAAAGTATGAGATGACGTTAAAAGTGGCATTCTAAAATTTAATTTCCCCGTCACTTCGACGCTCACTTCGCACTTAAACACGATTCAAAATCAAACAAATTTTATAGAATCGACGTGCAGCTGTGACTTGAAACTAGTCTCAGTGTCCCTTATTACAAAACAAGAGAGTCTGTGGTCGGTGAGTAAGCGTAGTTCGTCGCCCGACCAGAACCAGACCCGAGCGTTCCACGCGCGCCTCAAAGAGCATATAGACCACCAGAGACGGGGTCCTATAGGGCTGATGTTCAGCCGGGGTTGCGTGGCAAGCGTAATGAGGCGACCTCGGGCCAAAGTAGGAGAAGGAACGGGGGTTTTTAGTCAGTAAGAGTCTGACACTTTCTCTCTCGCCTAACCCTGAACGGGAGAAGTCATTAGACGATTTTCCCCTGACAAAAAAAGCCTGAGTGATTTGAAACTAGTAAAACTATTCTTAGTTTGTTCACACGAGTAATACATGATTTTATAAAAATAAAAATATTACTACCAACCTACAGCTGGCTTGACTATGCAGATGGGCATGTCTCCAGCTCGTCTCCTCACCAGTTCCTCAGCAATCGCCTTAGTAAACGTGTATGTATTTGGCCAGCCCTTGATTAAGCTGTAAAAATAAAAATCGCACGTTAAGCCTCAAATTTTTCAAGTGTGTGATAACCATAATTCGGCACAAATGGGTCGGCTCGACCGGAGTAATACCACGGCCTCACAGAAAACGGAGTGAAACAACCACAGCGTTGTGTTTCGCCGTGTGAGTGAGGTTACCGGAGACCCAAGTTTTCGACTTACATAAGTGTCGATAATTGAATTTTACATTTCTTGTGACCACGACATTTTTTACCACACTAGGGTTTCCTCCTGTGTCGCGAGTGCGTTTACAAACATACAATTTTACATACACATCACACCCGGACTGGGAGTTGTTCCGACATGACGGCAGCCGGTTGCCCAGCCACCGCGCCAACCGTGCAGTACGTCATGTTATTCCATTTAATGTTATGTCATGTCATGTTACTTTAAGTCATGTTACTATAAGTCATGTTACTATAAGTCATGTTACTATAAGTCATGTTATAATAATAACTTTACTCACCCAGACGTGATTTCTGCCAATCGTTCTTCATCAACACTTTCCACCAGCTCTATAAAGGTATCTGGTGGTACAGGAGCTGGGTAGAACTGTTCCAGGACATCTTTCTTCATTCGGCTCACAGTTGTATGAGCGAAAGCTGTAGAAATATGATTTAGTAGCCTGCAAAAGAAAAAATGCATTAATACGTGTGTCGCCTGGACAGTCAACCTCGCTACATCCTTGTTGACTGGACATCTACACTACATGAGCTGCTGTTTACATGTGAACATTAGCTCATGACGATACCTAAGTACGTGTGTCGCCTGGACAGTCAACCTCGCTACATCCTCGTTGACTGGACATCTACACTACATGAGCTGCTGTTTACATGTGAACATTAGCTCATGACGATACCTAAGTACGTGTGTCGCCTGGACAGTCAACCTCGCTACATCCTTGTTGACTGGACATCTACACTACATGAGCTGCTGTTTACATGTGAACATTAGCTCATGACGATACCTAAGTACGTGTGTCGCCTGGACAGTCAACCTCGCTACATCCTTGTTGACTGGACATCTACACTACATGAGCTGCTGTTTACATATTGTGAACATTAGCTCATGACGATACCTAAGTACGTGTGTCGCCTGGACAGTCAACCTCGCTACATCCTTGTTGACTGGACATCTACACTACATGAGCTGCTGTTTACATGTGAACATTAGCTCATGACGATACCTAAGTACGTGTGTCCCCTGGACAGTCAACCTCGCTACATCCTTGTTGACTGGACATCTACACTACATGAGCTGCTGTTTACATGTGAACATTAGCTCATGACGATACCTAAGTACGTGTGTCGCCTGGACAGTCAACCTCGCTACATCCTTGTTGACTGGACATCTACACTACATGAGCTGCTGTTTACATGTGAACATTAACTCATGACGATACCTAAGTACGTGTGTCGCCTGGACAGTCAACCTCGCTACATCCTTGTTGACTGGACATCTACACTACATGAGCTGCTGTTTACATGTGAACATTAGCTCATGACGATACCTAAGTACGTGTGTCGCCTGGACAGTCAACCTCGCTACATCCTTGTTGACTGGACATCTACACTACATGAGCTGCTGTTTACATGTGAACATTAGCTCGAGACGATACCTAAGTACGTGTGTCGCCTGGACAGTCAACCTCGCTACATCCTTGTTGACTGGACATCTACACTACATGAGCTGTTTAATCAGTACTTACTTGAGGTTAAGGCACTGCTTTCCCAATTCCAGTACTTCTCTGGTTCCTCTCACATTGATCAGACCTGCCATTTTAAGGGGCTCGTTGAACCTTACTGTTGCTGCTAAGTGGATGATCACGTTGACCTGGAAAACAGGGAACAATATGTTAAACCTTGTATTTCTTGAAAGAGAATTCAAAGATTACAAAATTGTAGGTATTTACACTAAGGGTCTTTGGGACTCGAATGCGCTGGTCTGACTGGAGTGATATAGCTTGAGGGTACACAGGAGACCCATTTCTTCCTCCTATCTCCAACAACCCAATACCACGAGTGTTGCTGGTATTACTGGGAAGGCTCTTATACCGGTATTTTTTTTAAACCGCCATTGTTCTTTTGGCGCAGTGGCTGGACAACTGGCTGCTGTGCAACGTGTGCGGGTTAGATTCCGGCACGCAACAACACTTTGTGTAATTCACAAATTGTTGTTTCAGGTCTAGGTGGCTTGTGTATGTGTAAACCGGTATCATCTGGCAGTTTATAAACCGATTCCGAGCCTTGCCGTCGGTTGCTTACCATCAGGTCATCTGTTTGCTCGTTTGCAGACCTATCACCAAAAAAAGTCTTTCATTTCATGAGTGATGTAAAGTGAATGCGTCGGCTCGACCGGAGTGATACCACGGCCTCACAGAAAACCGGCGGGAAACAACCATAACTTTGTGTTTCGCCGTGTGAGTGATGTTACCAGAGGTCCAATCCCAGCCATTACCCCCAACCATTCCCTATCCTTAAATATTAGAAATCCTTATCCCCAAAAGACCGGCAGTGCACTCGTAACTCCTCTGATATTGCTGGTGTCCATGGGCGGCGCCGATAGCTTACCATCAGGTAATCCGTCTGCTCGTTTGCCGACCGACATATGTTTATAGGTACCTACTTCTTTTGTCAATGTATCCCAATCCTTATCGCAAAGGCCGAGTCTGATATCTGCAATATCTCCTTCAATCGGCACGATGTCATTGGCGAAATTGGGCTTAATTTTTCGCAGACCGTCGTATAACTGAAAAATCAAGATAGGTAAGTAAATCATCAACCTATTTATGATGGAGTAGTTTTCTCTTTTTCTCTTTTCACCCTTCATCGTCACTTCGTCAGTCACGCCAAACGACAAATCTGAACTCACAGGACCCTGAAGCTCTTGACTTCCTCCGTCCAGGGTTTTTTTATTAAGGATGGAATACCATCCACCTTCATCAAGAGGCGAGAGGGAGTGTCAGACTATGTTACTAAAATAAAAACCACCCCCCGTTCCTTCTCCTGCTCTGACTGCGGTTCATAATTGCGCTATCATTAGCAACCCCGGCTGGACATTAACCCTAGAGAGGTCCATCTTTGATGGCTCTGGTCTGTGGTCATCAGACCCACGCTGACAGGGGTTGGAGATCGTCGCGTTATCCCCAACCCTCGGAACCTCTAAAGCGTGGTTGTTAGCTGCTTTATGCAACTTAACTGTGCCATCCAAATGATCATCATTATCATCAGCCTGACTCCACTGTCAGGCATCAATTATCAGCCGGGGTTACGGGACAAGCGCAATGAGGCACCGCGCCCTCGGCCTAGAGCAGGAGAAGGAACGGGGGTTTTTAGTCAGTGAGAGTCTGACTTTTCTTCCCGCCCCACCTTGGGCAGGAGAAGTCATTTGATGATTTTCTCCTCACACAAAGAACCATCAATAATAGTACTATCAAACCGTTTCCTGCATGGTCTGAAAGGCACTCTTGTGGTCTCTAGAGCTGCAAGAAGGCTTAGACTTCGATATTTGCTTACCATCAGGTCAAGCGCAAGCAGTACCGCTTCTAATCAATTTTCACTAAAGAAAAATCTTACCGGGTCACTTAGGATGTAGGTCAATCGTTGCGAGATAGTTTTTCCTTTTCTAGATCTCAACAAAACGTATATCCTTTTCACTTCGCATGCTCTGAAAAACAGTTACATTTATTATCTATACTAATATTATAAAGAGGTAAAATTTGTAAGTTTGTATGTAGGGGGTAATCTTTGGAACCGCTGGTCGGATTGCCAAAATTCTTTCACTGATAGATAGCTACAATGTTCCTGAGTGCTATAGGCTATAAAACATCACGCTACGATCAAATGGAGCCGAGCATCGAGTGAAACCGCGTGAGAGTAGTTAGTTTTATTATAAACCTTTAATTTTTAAAGGTAAAACTTTGAACAGGATGTCTACACTAATTTTCGACAGTTACGTCTGGTTTACGGGTGTCCATGGTAAGCGCTGATTGCTTACCATCAGGTAATCCGTCTGCTCGTTTACCAGGTCCATCTCCCCCTTCCCCTTAAAGGTCAACAACCCACTTGTCATCATCACTCCACTGGTGTTGTAGGTATCCATGCTTGTCCATTGCTTAGCATCAGGTGAACGATGTGAACCGCCCAATGCCTTATGTCGTTGTGGACTGGAGGTAAAGGCACCAGCTTCTCATGCATGAGAGTGTTTCAAAATCTGGCAAGTACCAATATGACTTGTTCCGAGTCATGTGATTATTTAGACACCACTGACATACGGTGAAGGAAAACATCGTGAGGAAACCCGGACTTATAATTTCTAATTATAAGTTTGAAATCGGCAATCCGCCTTGAGCGAGCGTGGTGGTTAATGCTTAAACCTTCTCCGTGTGGGGCGAGGCCTTTGCTCAACAGTGGACACTTATAGGCTGATGATGTGGTGTGAGGAGTGCCATATAGAAAAAAATATCACAAGTACTTCATTATCATCATCATCATCAGCCTGTTTTCGTCCACTGCTGGACATAGGCCTCCCCAATTGCAAACTGAGCTCGATGTTCAGCTCTTCTCATCCAACCACTGCCAGCCACCCTGCGGATATCGTCTGTCCACCTAGCTGGAGGGCGCCCTACACTACGTTTGCCTAGACGTGGTCTCCACTCTAGAACAATTACAAGTCCTTACCGGAAAATTTTCTCTATAAACTGCTTGCCCAGGAAACCAGATCCTCCAGTCAGGAAGACAGTGGTTCCCTTATAGAACTGCTGGACGGGTGAGTCTCCTCGATGGATGACCTCATTCATAGGTTTTTGCTTCTCCAGAAGGGCTAACTCCGCCTTTTCGGCGACGTCTAGGGTTTCCATTGCTATTAAAGACCAGGTCAGCATTAATACTTAAATTGATATAATTTATAGAATCAGGCATAACTTTGCGGAAATCCATGACACTAAATGTTAGGAAAAATATTTAGCTTTATTCCGCGACAAAAATCTAGGCTTGTTGCAGGATGCAATCCCACTCCTATGCAATCATGCATATGTTGACTCGACGAGCGCTCGTCGAGTCAACATCTCCTGAGGATGCCCTGTGAAGGGGCGAAACACGTGTCGAGTATAGGTTTGATGGCGTGCCATGGTTTTCCGTTTTTTGCACGTGTGCATATGCATGTTACCTTTGCTGCATGTGCATATGCATGATTGCATAGGAGTGGGATTGCATCCTGCAACAAGCCTGGATTTTTGTCGCAGAATAAAAACTAAATAATTTTTCCTAACATTTAACTTAAATTGATTCCACAATAATAGTTGGTATAGTGGCTGGTCAACTGTCTGCTGCCCAATGTAAAAGAGCTCGATTCTTGCACGGAACATTTTTTTTTTTAAAACTTTGCCCCACATTATGATTTTCTCCTGTGTCGTGGGTGCTGTTACAAACATACAATTTCACATACACAAGACACCCAGACTCGAAATAACAATTTGTGGATCACAACGAAAAGTCGTGGTGGCCCGGAGGTTAAGGCGCCCGCTTCTCATGCATGAGGGTGCGGGTTCGAAACCTGGCAAGTACCAATGTGACTTTTTCCGAGTTATATGTACTTTCTATGATTATTTAGACACCACTGACATACGGTGAAGGTAAACATCGTGAGGAAACCTGGACTTATAATTTCTAATTATAAGTTTGTAATCGCCAACCCGCATTGAGCAAGCGTGGCGATTAATGCTCAAACCTTCTCCGTGTGAGAAGAGGCATTTGCTCAGCAGTGGGCATTTATAGGCTGATGATGAGGTACAAAGAGTTGTTCCGTGCGGGAATCGAACCCGCGACACGTACTACTCACAGCGGATTCAGATTCGAAGTTTAGAATGAAGTCTTACAGAATCACACTGCTGGTCTTTTCTCCTTTCACATTGGTTCTATCACTTCAAAGTAAAGAAAAAGAGAACTATGCAATGGCGAGAAAAACTTATTATCATAACATAATCTCAAAATAATATTGTCGGTATTGTTGTCGCCACAAATCAAACCAATTAATAGCGTTTACTATGAAATATGACCTAAAACCACTACATAGTATAAAACAAAGTCGCTTTCTCTTTCCCTATATCCCTATGTACGCTTAAATCTTTAAAACTACGCAACGGATTTTGATGCGGTTTTATTCACAGATAGAGTGATTGAAGAGGAAGGTTTATATGTATAATAACATCCATGAAATAGTGGAGAAATTTAGTATCAGTATTGCAACAACGCGAAGCCAGAGCGGGTCGCTAGGTTCACGCAATAAAATAAAAAAAAAACAAAACACAATTACTTACTTTAATCATTTTAACTATATGTATAATGACTTGCGAAATTCTAAGTAAGTTTATAAATAGCTAAACACAATATGTTAATTCATTTGAAAAGTAAGTTACTGTATTTATTTTTCGGAAAAAAAACATCTATTATGAAATAAATTTTATTTATTTATCTACGTATTATACATAATATATCATTTAAAACACTCAAATTGAGTGAAATTTATAGCCCATAGCACTCAGGAACATTGTAGCTATCTATCAGTGAACGAATTTTGGCAATCCGACCAGCGGTTCCAAAGATTACCACCCAAATATAGGTAAACTTATATTTAGAAATTATAAGTCCAGGTTTCCTCACGATGTTTACCTTCACCGTGTGTCAGTGGTGTCTAAATAATCAAAGAAAGTACATATAACTCGGAAAAAGTCGCATTGGTGCTTGCCAGGTTTAATGTATGAGAAGCGGGCTCCTTAACCTCTGGGCAGTGGGCCACCACGACACTAGTAGAGTTGTTCTCAATAAATTCACGTAAGCAAAAAAAGTCGTTTGTTATCAATGAAAAACACATAAGTCCGCTTCTCAAACAAGAGAGTGAGGTTTCGAAACCTGACAAGTACCAATGTGACTTTGTCCGAGTTATATGTACTTTCTATGATTATTTAGACACCACTGACAAACGGTGAAGGTAAACATCGTGAGGAAACCTGGACTTATAATTTCTTATAAGTTTGAAATACACCAATCCGCCTTGAGCAAGCGTGGTGGTTAATGCTCAAACCTTCTCCGTGTAAGAAGGGGCCTTTGCTCAGCAGTAGGCACTTATAGGCTGATTAGAATGAGAATTTCACTGTTATATTTGACTAAGACTTCAGATAAAATCTAATACAAAAATTCATTTTGAATTCACATTCTTATTAGATTGTAATTTCCTGAAACACAGTTTAAAAAAAAATCTAATTACCGTCACTTTTTAATGGATGTTATTATACATATAAACCTTCGTATTACAACGTGGCATTTAATTGTAAAAAAAATTGTATATATTATTTTTTATTACAAAGCAAAACACATATTATATAATTACACTTTTAAATCAATTATGAATGAAAGTATGATAAATATTTCTATAAATTAGTTATATAATAGATTCTATATAGTTTACTAGCGACCAATCTTCGCCCGGGATTATAATAATAATTCTGATACTAAATTTCTTTAATGGATGTTATAAATTATACATATAAACCATCCTCTTCAATCACTCTATCTATTAAAAAACCGCATCAAAATCCGTTGCGTAGTTTTAAAGATTTAAGCGTACATAGGGATATAGGGACAGAGAAAGCGACTTTGTTTTATATTATGTAGGGTTAGTTTAAAAAAAATGTTAACTCACCCATAGTTTACAAAGATAAAAATGTCGATTTGAATATAAAAGAAAGACTGAACTTTAAAAAACACAATTCACTTTTGGTAGTGTCGCACAATTTTTTTAATATATGTATTATATATTATACATTATATAAGGTTTTTTAACATATAAAAGTTGGCTATGTGACCTGTTCCGTAGCCTAGTTAAAACTGAATTAAAACATCGAACTACATACTACAAGATACCTAATTTTTAACTAGCATAAATGTATATAAATACGCGTATTTACCATATGTATGTATACACGAAAAAAATATTGTATATAGTTAGTTAGTTAGTTAGTTAGTTAGGTAAGTAAAAACTAAATGAATTACGCAAACAAATCAATTTATTCGTATTTGAAAAATAAATTTGAATACTTATGTAAGTTCTTACATACATACATACATACATACATGAATTACAATACTTTTTTTACACTGATTTCATGTCAAACATACTTGTAATCACGCTGTGTGACGACGGAGGTGAAATACATTTACACCACCTTTACTCTTCCCGCCGGGTGTATCATACCCATATATAGGTAAGTAGGATGTCGCAGTTAAAAACTTTCGGATATGTAGTTTGTTAGTCGGCTATTCTGTACCCAGGGGAGGAGTTATGGTGGTGATATTTGTTACGTACGTAACAAGAGTTTAGTATGTTCCGTTTTCTCGGCAGTCGGATTTTATAAGTTTTTTTTTACGGTAGGAGGATTTGGATAATTAAGGATTGGAACGGGATGAGTGCAGAGGGACGGATCGGGCCTCCGATAACCTCACTCACACGGCGAAACACAACGCTGGTTGTTTTCTGGTTTTCTGTGAGGCCGTGGTATCACTCCGGTCGAGCCGACCCATTCGTACCGAAGCATGGCTCTGGAATTTTAAAGAAATAATTCAACTATTTGACGCAAAAACACTATGACGTCATAGCTCAGTTTTTCATACAAATTTCATAGAAAAGTATCGTTTTTGATATTTGGATAAAAGTATTGAATTTGACTAGTTGGAAACTACCGTATTAAAGTTATAAAAAGATATACATATAATTATTTTGAATGCTAAAACTACCGCGTGTCATATAACAATACAAATACCTAACTATAATTCATATACAATACTTCATTTAAATATGTAGATAAGTAAAAAATTAGCAAAAACATATTTCAAAAATACTGTTTTTACGTGTGGGAGAGCCATGCTTCGGCACGAATGGGTCGGCTCGACCGGAGTGATACCACGGCCTCACAGAAAACCGGCGTAGAACAACGCTTACGTCGTGTGAGCGAGATTCCTTAAGGCCCATTTCCACAACACATCATCAGCCTATAAGTGCCCTCTGCTGAGCAAAGGCCTCTTCTCACACGGAGAAGGTTTGAGCATTAACCACCACGCTTGCTCAAGGCGGATTGGCGGTTTCACACTTATATTACAAATCATAAGTCCAGGTTTCCTCACGATGTTTTCCTTCACCGTTTTTCTTTCTTTCTTTCTTTCTTTCTTTCTTTATCGTGTTATTTTGACATTGTCTGGACTTGAAAAGAGACTGACCTCTGAGTTTGTTTCGGCATTTCTTCTCAGAGTAGTCAGATAGGAATTGCCGGCTTCATCTAGTTTTTCGCAAATAATTTGGCGTGTGTAAAAGTGCCGTTTTATGGCCTATTTGCAAAAATAAATTCATTGTTTCATAGTACCTTCATTCATGAAAAGATTCATAAGGCCTTAACCTCAAGGCCACCACAACGTTGGAGATCTAATCATCCCCTATCCCCAATCATAAACCCTCATCCACAAATATAATATCTATCCTTAAATCATCCAAGCGACCTTGTAACTCCTCCCTGGGCTGTCCAGATTGTTGACGATTCAGAAAAAGAGTAACCATGGAGTTTCTTGCTCGTTCTTCTCCATAGGAATCTACACTTTGGAACGAGCAAATAGCTTCAGTAGAGGAAAGACGGACAGACTGACACGTAGGTATAAAGTTAAAAATGTCGATTATTCGATTATTTTTTTGCTTAACGTTCAAAACTTCCTGTTGTGGATTACTTGAACTAAAGAATTAGATTTGATTTGTCCTTTAATAAAAATCCACAAAATGTTTTTATCTAAGAGTAAATCTCGAAAATTTCTGGTCTCTTCATCATCAGGCATCAGCGAACCATAGTCATCCAATCGCACAGCACTTAAGACCTGAACTCGATCTTCACCTTTTTTTTTTTAAGTGGATAAAATCATCAAATAACTTTTCTCTCCAGGTTTAGGCATCCATCGGAAATTTCGGAAGGTACCTGTTTCGGATTCAGAGGAAAACCACCCTGAGGACACGGTGGCGGAGTGCCCAGCTTGGGCTGAACACCGCCATGTCGTCATGGAAGTGATCGGCGGCGGCGACCTCTCGCGTCCGGCCTTAATCGAGACCATGGCACGGAGCAAGAGGAACTTGGAAGCCATCTAATCTTTTTGCGAAGCAGTGATGCTCTCAAAGAAGAATACGGAGTGCCTGACGAAACTATCATCCATATGCCTCAGCTGCCGCATTATGCGACACTCCGGGCATCGGGGATTGACCGATGATCTCCGGCCACCGTAAGCACGTGTCTGCGTCCTGCGCCCGACTCGAACCAGTTCCGAGCGCGCCTCAAAGATCCAGTAGACCAACGGAGATGGGGCCTTACAGGGTCAATGTTTAGCTGAAGTTGCAGGGCAAGCCCTATGCTACCGCGACTTCGTCCTGGATCAGGAGAAGGTATAGACTTAGTCAGTAAGAGTCTGACACTCCTTCAGGACAAGAGCCATTTGATGTTTCCAAAAAAAATGATCATTCTTCTCTCTTTCTATCTACAAATTTATGGAACAAAGGAATTTTGAATTACATACTTTAATATATTCAGCTTGTATGCGTCATAGATTACATATCTATATGTATATCTACATTAATTATTGTACGCATATAATTAATTGTATGTATATGAATTAAAATAAAAACAAATGACTATGCAAAATTTAATAAATTAATGATATACAAAAAGTTTTTATATTATTTATAAAATTTTTGCCCTCAACAATATACCTACTTATAATAAATATAAAAATGTAAACAACATTTTTGAAAATCGACACTGATCGACAGACTTGAACATAGTAAGTAGCCTATCAGTGTCCACTGCTGAGCAAAGGCCTCTTCTCACACGGAGAAGGTTAGAGTATCAACCACCACGCTTACTCAAGGCGGAATGGCGATTTCAAACTTATAATCAGAAAAGTCCAGGTTTCCTCACGATGTTTACCTTCACCGTATGTCAGTGGAAAAAGTCACATTGCTATTTGCCAAGTTTAGAACCCCTCATGCATGAGAAGTGGGTACATTAACCTCAGGGTCACATACGACGACGTGGAAACCCTGATGGTAAGCGCCAGCCAGGCATATCATTGGAGTTCCAAGTTCGTTGACGGCAATGTGAGGAGAGTATTTTTTTTTTTTTTTTTTTTTTTTTATTGATTATAGGTTCGCGCTTGACCGCTATCTCACCTGATGGAAAGCGACGATGCGGTCGACGATGGAGCGCGCTTACCTAGAAGTAACCTATTCACTCTTGACTTAAAGATACCCGGATTGTAGCTATCAGGAAACACCGACTCCGGCAAGGAATTCCACTCCTTGGCTGTACGCATGATGAATGTGCTCCCAAAACGTTTTGTACGTATATGTGGGACATCCACCATGTACCGGTGGCGCAATGCCGTACGTCTGGTGGTCCGATGATGGAACGGGCTAGGCGGAATTAAATTATGTAATTCCAACGCACATTCCACGAAATGCAACCGGTAGAAAACCGACAGGCTAGCAACTCGTATAAATAAAATTTTCGGATAACTTTAAACCACGCTTGAGTATTGTTTCACACCGGTTTTTATTAACGCCGTAGTTATTAATAAAAACCGGCGTGAAACAGTTTTATTGTTGATACCACGGCGTGTGACCTTTCGAATGAACGGTGAAGGAAACTTTGATCTATAATATACTAGCTACTCCCGCGCGGTTTCATCCGCTGCTCATCTCCATTTGATCGTAGCGTGATGTTTTATAGCCTATAGCACTCAGGAACATTGTAGCTATCTATCAGTGAACGAATTTTGGCAATCCGACCAGCGGTTCCAAAAATTGAAACAATGAAACAATGAATTTATTTTTGCAAATAGGCCATAAAACGGCACTTTTACACGTCAATTTATATGTAAAAAACTAGATGAAGCCGGCATTTCCTATCTGACTACTCTGAGAAGGAATGCCGAAACAAACTCAGAGGTCAGTCTCTTTTCAAGTCCAGACAATGTAAAAATAACATAATGTGAGTTATTTTCTGAAGCCTGGAGGCGGGGACAACATATTTGTTTTTCCCCCTCGTGTTAATATTATGTATATCACTATGCTTCTTAAATAAGCTTTTGTTTTTATATATGATATATGATTACCCCCTACATACAAACTTACAAATTTTACATCTTTATAATATTAGTATATACTGTAAAGCTGCAGAGTTTGTGTGTTTGAATGCGCTAATCTACAAAACTACTGGTTCGAATTGAATCATTCTTTTTGTGTTTGTTAGCACATTTATCGAGGAATGCTTTAGCTTATAAAACATCACGCTACGATTTGTAGGAGCCGAGCAGCCAGTGAAACCGCGGTACAGAAGCTAGTTTCTAATAAAATTTTAAGTGTGAAATCGCCAATCCACCTAGAGCATGCGTGGTGGTTAATGCTCAAACCTTCTCCATGTGAAAAGAGACCTTTGCTCAGCAGTGGGCACTTATAGGCTGATGATGCAATGTGAACCCCTGTGTTGGTGAACTTTTGGGGATTAGGGTTTCGAAGATTTAGAGTTTGGGGGAGGGAAGGCTGGACAGGCGGCGGCGCAACGTGTGACGGATTCGATTCCCACACAGAACAACTCTTTGTGTGATCCACAAATTGTTGATCCAGGTCTGGGCGTGATGTGTTTGTGAAATTGTATGTTTGTAAACGCACCCACGACACGGAGCCAATAGACCACCACAGACGGGGCCCTATAGAGCTGATGTTCAGCCGAGGTTGCGGGGTAAAAACGACCCATTATGAATCATCCAGTATCTGCATCTTAAAACTTTTGATAATGTAGCACCAAAGAGTTTAAACACAGACTGGACAGGTAGCTCGTCGCCCGACCAGAACCAGACCCGAGCGTACGGCGCGTAGCGTTCCGCGCGCGCCTCAAAGAGACAATAGACCACCACAGACGGGGCCCTATAGAGCTGATGTTCAGCCGGGGTTGCGGGGTAAGCGCAATGAGGCACTGTGGCCTCGGCCCAGAGCAGGAAAAGGAACAGGGGTGTTTTTAGTCAGTAAGAGTCTGACACTCGCGCCCGGCCCTGGGCGGGAGAAGTCATTTGATGATTTTCCCCTCACAAAAAAAGACCCACGACACAGGAAGAAAAAAGGGATAAGGTGGGAAAGGATTGGGTCTTCAGTAACGTCAAACACGTGACGAAACGTCTATTTTAAATATCGAAACCAAATTCTTTTGACCTTGAACTTGACGATAATGTTTCAAGAATAAAAAAACGTTGCATTTATATTTAAAAAAAGAATAGAATTTATTTTAAATTTTATTGCATTGTCATGCTTGGTAGTTATTTGATCTAACCTTGTAGGTTGTATATATAATTTGTAATGAAAAAAAAAAAACAATACTATATCGGTAAATACATAATATAATTTATATAGATAGATACTAGCTTCTGCCCGCGGCTTCACATGCGCCTAAAGGTAAGGTATATTTCGAACTAATATTATAAAGAGGTAAAATTTGTAAGTT